TCTTAGACATTCGGACAGATTGGGACAACGTGGCTCAAGGTTGATTTCCGCAGCCTTACCTTGATCCACAACCACAAAACAATTGAGCTCGCATTCAAAGTCAGCTCTCAGCAGACACATGCACACTGCTCCACATCATCACTCCTCCTTGATGCCGCCGCTAGGCTGCATCACTTGAAGCCGACGCCACGCTCTGTCCCGACACTCGCAGCTGAGAGTTGAAGACCCGTTCGTACTCCCTAGCACGCTCTAAGTCTCTTCCATAGTCTGCACTTTTGTCTGGATCATCTTGAGCTCGGTTGACACAGTACTGACAGATTCTGCGTTTCTCCACACGGTCTGCAGTTCCTCTGTGTCGAAAGGCGTGGCAATCTCCATAGACGTGGTAGCATTCGTTCCCTGGCACAAAAAAGGTTTCTCCTGGTGGTTCGTGGACATAGCGAAGGATGACTCTTGTCTCTGGAGCCGGCCCGCATTGGGTAAACACTCCAGACTGCACCCCGCACTCTCTACTCTCCTTTCTTCCTTTATCCAACCTTCTTACAAGTTGGATCCTCTCTTCTGCATGCGCATCGACTTCCGGCTTGGGCAATGCGTCTGGCTTTGCCCGAGGAGGATCCAGCTTCTGAACGGAGGGCAGAACATTTGCTTCGTGACCCCTTTCCTCCCTCCGGTTTCCACTCCTTTCTTGAATCTCCCTCTGTATTGCCTCAGTAGTCGCGCTACGCAGCTTCTGCAGTCTTCTCATCCGCCTAGAACTCGCTCCAGGAACAACCTTGTCATAAGCTAGCCACATCAAACATTTCAACAGCTCCCAAGTGATCAAGAACACGACGACTGTCGCCCAAAGGAACGCCCACGTTAGCATCCCATATTCAACAGCCAGCGCTGTCTTCACAACCACTGCCTCTTCTTCCTCCCAGTTGTAGGCGCTTCCAGTGACGGCTTGCGACAGAACTAGGAGTGCTATTAAACCGTTAGGGATTTCTTTAGGGGCACAGGCTACGCTGCTGCCGCGTTGATGCTGCTGATGTTGATGCTGCTGCTGCCGCTGACATCGCCGCCATCCTCATTGTCTTCAGGATTGTAGAGGTTGATCAACTTGGATAGCGACCTCATTCTTTGAGAAGCCAACGCTTTAGTGAGTAAGTCTGCGGGCTGCACTTCTCCAATGCAGTGATGCACTGTTATTGCTTGATTTGCTATCAGTTCCGAAACCCAGGCACTCCGAAGACGTAGATGTCTTGTTCTCCAGCTTCCACTACCATTTGCGATAGCCAGCGCCGACGTTGAGTCCGAGTATAGCTGTAACTTCTGACCTCCGGGTAGAACATCTCGATTCCGCGGTGCTCAGTGTTATTGTGCTCTGTCTTCCTGATCGCCATGAGATAACGCAGTCGTTCAAAAGCACCAACCACGCCGAATGACTGCGGCTCCCATCTGGAGCAAAGCTGGCATCACAGTATCCCACCAGACCAGAGTTGTCGCCTGAGTATACCAAGGCATAGCTCATCGTCCTCTGCAAAAACGCGATAGCCTTCTCTGCTATCTGGGTGGCTCGTCTCGGCGCCCGAGTAGAAAGAGACCCTACCAGGGATGCTACATAACTCAAATCTGGACGGGTGCGCTGGGATATCCACAGTAATTCCCCTGCGCACTGCTGAGCCTTTCGCAGCTCTTGCTCCGTGTAGATCCCTTCATGCTCCTCGACGCTGAAGTTCGCCAAGTCCTTCGAAATCGGAATAAGGTCACGACGCGTTGGTGGAACCTGATGCAGTCTGACAAGCTCCTCTATGTACGACTTTTGCGTCAAAGCAAAGCCCTGTGTGCACATAGAGATCTCGATGCCCAGGAATCTTATTGCTCCTTCAGACACTAGCTGTAGCTCGCTCGTCTTCCATACCTCTCTGATGGCGACCGCAATCTCCTTGATTAGTTCAGGTCTTCCACACAATAAAATATCATCAACGTACACCACCAATATTCCAATCAACTGAGAGCCTTCCTGTAGAATTGACCACCACGAAGGTTCTACCCTTCCTTGCATGAGAACCACCTTCTTGCCCTCAAAGACCAGTTGTATTTGCGCCAATCGAATATCTCTGTACATGCCCCATAACTTCGGTGACTCCTGTAGTCCATATACTGCATGGGTTAGTTTCCACAATTCCCCAGGTTTGCATAGTCCCGCCTAATAGTTTAGGAGGAATGCCGTACACGAGAGGTGCGCCTTTCAACCCTTCCAGGGGCGTCTGTAAAAAGGCAGCCACGACATCTATCATACCTAAATCCCAATTGAACATGCGGGCGATGGCGATTGCTGCTCGTACCACTTCAGCCGGAGCCGTGTTTGTGTACACTTCACCAGGTTGGTGCGACGCCAAATTTCCGCATATCACAATTTTCGATTTTCTCTTGTACCACCTCTCTGGCATACTCCCGTCCGCTGGCATGTCTGGCGGTTTAACTGTGTGAAAACCACTTTCATAGGAATGACCTGCCCCCTGACCAGCTTCGATGTCTTTGCGGACTTGTTGATCACTGCTATGGACCTTTTCGACCGCATGCTCCAGTGACGCAATCTCCTTGTTCAGGGACGGTATCCACTCATCAAAATACTGCACGACCTCCTTGGGATTCACCGTGTGCACAATGTTTAGCGGGCTATCCAAGGCGTTCAAGATCTCTTCCACATTCTCAGTGAACCCCACGTACCTCGGCCTTGCGTAGCACCACTTCATCCCAGGAATCTGTACCCACTAAAGCAGCTCCTGAGTCGACTTTCTCCAGGTTCAAGTAAAGCTCCCATAATAGCCAATCTTCACTGGGTATTCCTGGCTTGCTTTCACTCGTAGCGCTGCTAATCGTAGATTCTGCTTCCCTTTTCCCAGGATCTCGCGCATCTCCAACACCCTCCTCGATGATGCCTTTGTCCTCGGACCTGCCATGGAGATCTCGCACATTCAGCATACTGATTCTTACATCACCACCTTCCTCTTCGTCGCGTAGTGGCATAGGGAAACCCAGCTTCCACAACAGTGCTCTGTCTGTGCCCTGTAGGTTCTGAAGCATTCCTGGAGTATAACCCACCAGCACCAGGCGATCCCCAGAAGAAGGTAGTACGGCATGTCTTCGATGTGGATTCAAGCAGAAGATCTCCCCAGCTTGCAATGGGTAAGCACATCCATACCTTGTCTTTCCATCCTGCGAGGTAAGTTCAGTTACTCGACCGGATACAACATCTCCATCACGTAGTTCCTGCCATATTTCACCCCCGCGACGCGGCATAGTCAGTGGCAATATGTAGTTAATTGTGCCCATGGCGTTATTCCGGTCGATGTGGACTTCTCGCTGGCTGTTGATGGAAACATAGATGGATGCGAACTCTGCATCTGGTACCTTGTCCTTTAGCAGCTTCAACAGAACTGCAGTGAACCAGGGTCTCTCCAATGTGGCGCGAGTTACACCTGCTTTCCCACCATACCTGAACATGCCATACACATTTTCTGAAGCTGGTAGCTGCTGACAAACTTCCTTGACTAGCCCCTTAGCCTCCTCCTGTGACCACGTCATCATCAACTGCTCCGCTCGCCTCTTGTACTCCGTGTCATCGAGGATCACAGCCTTTGACAACGTGACCACATCTCCTGAGCCTGCGGATTTACCCCGAACTCTTCTGCTAGGTCCCGCTGGCTCATCAGCATCAACATCCGCTTCTACTGGACCAGGATCATGTAATCCGGCTCGAACATGGAGAGTATGGATAAAGCGTCCACTATCCTCCTCCTGAACGAATACCAAATGTCCTTTACTCAAGCTTTCTGACCGCCCAACATGTACCCACTTTGGTGCCAAGTCGTCCAGCTTGGGCCCTTCCAATTGTCTTTTCCTCACCATAACCTTGGCCCCATATGGAGCAGCTAACTTTGGCTCAAACCCCAATACATCTCCTCTCTGCATTGTAGCTGCCGTTGTAACTGCTGTGGACCATAAATGCTGTGGTAGCTTGGCTGATAGTAGTAGTGCGCGCGCCCTCTGCTTTATCCATCGTACTGTAGACTCCGCCGCCCCATTTGTTTGATGGACTCCAGCTTCTGAGGTCGTCACTCGAATACCCTGCGATTTCAACCATTGCTTTGTTGCTCTCGCCTGAAACTCCATACCTCGATCCGAGTGAAATCGTAGGACTGGTATATTCAACGCGTGACAGTACAATACCACGTCCTGTATTGCTTCCAGAACTGTAGCTGCCTTGTCGTCTCGGATTCCAGTAGCAAAGATCAAGTTGACCAACTCCGGGGGCGCCAAGTCAATGTCCTCTTCGGGGTCAAGCTTCTTGCGGGCATCCTCATCATCCTCATCCTCAGCTTCCCCTCTGTCAGGTACCACTTCCTTGGGTTCTATGCCTTCCTTTTCAACTTGCTCTCCATGTTCAGACGCGAGGCCATCATCTTCATCCTTATAGTCTCCTTCGCCCAGCTCTCCATCGTCATATTCAACCCATTTTCCTCGGCCGTCCTCCACGAACGCTTTAGGGACGCGCAACTTAGCCACGAAGATATACTTGAACTGCTTTGGGACTTTGGGAAGGCGCCTCGAGCATCAGGATCTGAACCACCCACCTTCACTGGACCAGATAAATCTGAAGATAGAACAAATGCTGCAGGATGCTCAAGGCGGGCGTGACGACGACCTGTTCCACCCGCTTGTACACATACCGCGCAGTCAGCTCGATACGGTAAATGGCCTCTTCTCACATGGTCCTTCCACTGCTCGGCGCTCATCCTAACCATCCGCGGTACCGTTCCCCAGTTTCTCAACGCGATTGTGACATGCTCCAGAAATTCTGCCGGCCAAACACACGCAGGTGCCCTTTCTGGCACGGGACCATCTGAGTACAGTCGCGACCTGAGTCTATCCAGATGTCGTAGAGGTAGATTGGTACCACATGTCGTATGTCTCGTGTACACTTTTCCCAGCGCTGCCATGTCAAAGCTGTAAGTGTGCAGTCCTGCTTCCAATGCATACTCCGTCCACAATGACATTCTCCACAAACTTACCACTCCCGGATATAGAGGATCTCCATACTTCAAATACCCCCGAGGATCTCGAGGATGCTCTAGCAGGAAACCCACCTCTCTTTGATATGTTGGATCTCTGGGATGTGTAAGCCTTCCAGCTGTAGCCAATGCATGTAGATAAATCATCCTGGCGATGAGTTGCGTTTGCTTATTGACCTCCCGAACATCTTCCTTTAGTTTACCATCCCAGTTGCCATACGGGTATTCATTGGTGCGAAGCTGAGGTGGTCCTCCAAGGTTATACCGGGAGATGATGAACGACCCTTGGGGTGGGCCACCAATGATTGCGGATATCTTCCCTTTTCGCGCAGCATGCTCTGATACCCTCCACGTAGCTGGCCTCAGTATGTCCTGGGTTTTTCCCCTCTCGATGTCCAGCTCCAAGATAGTATAGCTATGCGCTTCCAGGTGAAATAGCTCCCGCTTTTCTCTCTCTCCCGCGAAGAGGTGTACCACCCATTTGTCTGAGCTCCACAGTCGCTTACGAGTTGAGGGCGCACGCGAAAGCATTTTTGTTTCTCCGGGGGGGGG